TCGTATGTATTGCCTATACCTCCAGCTCTCCTTTGCGCATGTTTTCGACCCTGTTTTGCTTTTTTATCTCAACAATTATCATCTGGACGAGCTCGGCAGCACTCGCATGCCAAGTTTTATTTTTGGGGGGGAGCTCGTGATAGCTAACGCGTCTTTGTCGTCATGTAGTGGAATGCCTCTGTCAACCTCCTACCACTGTGGATTGCTCCCAACATGGTGACCCTCTTGGGTTTCTGCTTCATCCTGATAAATGTCGCTTTCTGTGCAATCTGGATGCCTGATCTCGTTGGACCGGTATGTGGGAGACCCTCCATGTCTCTGGAGTGACGTACTAACGCAAGTGTTCTTGCAGGCTCCTTCATGGCTTTACTTCAGCTTTGCCTTCGGCCTCTTCATGTACCAAACGATGGATAACCTCGATGGAAAGCAAGCTCGACGAACTGGAACCTCAAGCGGCCTCGGTGAACTCTTCGATCACGGTATCGACTCCTTGAACTGCACACTCGCCAGTCTGCTCGAAACTGCCGCTATGGGTCTTGGTACCTCTCCAGCTGGCATCATCACCGCTCTGTGCCCATGCCTACCCATGTTCTTCTCGACCTGGGAAACCTACCACACGCATACTCTCTACCTAGGCGTTATCAACGGTCCTACAGAAGGCATCCTTATTGCCTGTGCAATTATGATCATGTCTGGCATTTGGGGACCTGGCATCTGGACCATTCCTTTGGCTAATGGCATCAAGGATACTCTCCCTGGGCTTGCTGAGCTCCTTGGCGAGACCACTTTCCGAGATATCTGGATTGGCCTGATCATTGGCTCCCTCGTCTTTACACAGATTCCCTTCTGTGTGCTCAACGTTGCCAAGGCTCGCAAGTCTAGAGGAGAGCCCATTCTTCCCGTCTTCCTTGAGTGGATTCCTATGGCCGTCTTCACTTTTTCGATCGCCGCTTGGGTTTTCTCTCCTTACAGTACCATCATGAAGGAGAACCATCTCATGCTTTTCTGCTTCATCATGTCATTCGTCTTTGGCCGCTTGACCACTAAGATTATTCTCGCCCATTTGACTCGCCAACCTTTCCCATGGTGGACCGTTATGCTATACCCCCTTGTTGGTGGTGCGTTCCTCGGAAACATGCCTCGATTTGGACTCCCTCAGGTCAGCGCCCAGTTCGAGCTTTTCTACCTGTGGGCCTATCTTCTCTTTTCCATGGTTGTCTATTTCCGCTGGGCTTGGCTCGTTGTTACCAGCATTTGCAACTACCTCGGCATCAATGCCCTCACCATCCCCAAGGAGAAACAGATCGCCAACAAGGCGGCACAGGCTGCCAACAAGCTACACTAAGCCGGAACTAGCCGTTCTAGCCGAGCAATTTTGTTCTGTCAAGTCCTGAGAGATCGAAATGACATAGAAAATAATCCACCCAGAGAGGCGCAGCATTTTGGAGAGAGATCATGGTACAAAAAATACTGGTGTCGCGATACAGGGCGAGGAATCAAAGCATGACGAGGGCGTTTGGTGTTTACTTGCGGGTTTCTCGCATTCTTCATGACGCTTGGATACTAAGGGGTCTTGTATCACGTCAACAACCATTGGGGTATATTCATTGTAATAGATATAAATGAAGGAGTACGTGTAGATGATGGTGTTAGAGACTGCCTTTGGATAGGCCCCGGCTTTGACGCATAAGGCGCAAGCCAAATCAATAAGAAGCTTCAATTTTTCAGACACATTATCTATCGCCGTCCATACCAATTTCATGATACCTGGACTGTTGTCTTATCGTTGTTACCTATGAGGGGCTTCACAGCATTATAGAAACGTGGGGTTAACGGGATGACGTAGCCTGCGTTAGCTTCAGAAGATGGATGTCTGCAGGAACCTTTGGTAAAGAGTTGCGATGAAATCTTGCTTGCCAGCTCGTTAGTTTCTCGTATCATAATGTTGGGTCAACGGAAGTTTTTGAGAGAGATATTTCCAACCTAGCTCCCAATAATGCTTACCTACCTATTTAAAGGAACGCAAAACCCCCATTAGGTCAAGATGAATGATCAGGTAACACAACTCTATGCTTTTCCTCAAGGTGGTCTTAGTATCAATAGCATTGTGTCGAATTTCAGTCTCTCTGGAATGCGTTCCAGCCTTTACTAAGACTGACTTGCACGCCAGGCTTAGGTATGATCAACGAGATCTTTCCATATAATTCAACCTATACTATAGCAGCTTGGCATAGGTAGTGAAGAGAATCGAGATAACGCCAACAGTATAACTATATCTGTATAGGCCAGTAAAAGTAATACGTGTCCAACTTGATAAATGCGTTCGGTGTGATTTATCCATATCGAATGCGCCCTCAGGTCCTTTATAACCGTGAACCAATGGGGTTTGACCATTGCAACGATAATAACCCGACCCTTGGCTGTTGGACCATAGTTTAAAGGGTCCTCTCCCGCCCTCCCCCGCGCCTGTTGTGCACATCAGAAAGGCGTCTTTTGCCGAGAGCTAACAGGGGGCTTCGGACCAATATCGTTCATAGCTGCTGAAGGACCAACATGAAGTCCAGATCCATTTCATAAAACACATAACGGACAATGGGTTGAGGCTTAGTATTGTTATAGAGAAAAACCAAAGAATTAACGGAGAATAATGTGAGCTTTGACCTCTGCATGTGGCCACACGCATATGGGATTGTGGCCGGAGTGTTGTGTCAAGGTACCAAGATTCGTCTGTGGTTCTGGGCCTGGGTGAAGTACCTACCTACTACTATTTCCCTCCCCACATCTATTCTTGTCGTACCTGGCCTTATCCTCCTCCCTTGCATGGATGGGCTGGCGAGAGAGGTTTAACTCCTGACACGAAGCACTTGTTTGCTTGATTCTGCTCTGTCTTTGTTCGCAACATCCACGCTCACTGCCACAGCTGAACTTTTGCGCATTGCCATACGATTGTTCTGATCCTCCAGACGGAATGAGCTAGTTTTGCGCCCCACGATAACCCGAACCCAAACCCGCTTCTTGTTGGTTTAGAGTAGTATTTATTGGTGTCTTCCCATACATGGCTGAATCTTCGACAATGCCTCGACCGCTATCGCAACTGTCATTCCTTGCAAAGCTTCTCGTCTTTGTCTGCCTACTTCTATCGACGGTCGCCGAGTCCATGACACTTTCAGATGAAACCCTCGAGAACATTCCTTCGCCCGGCGACGACTTTGATATCAAGGATGGCAAGCTTCTTGCTCCTATCCTGATTCCTCGTGTGCCTGGCACCGAGGGTCAACGGCGTGCTCAGAAACACTTTGTCGAGTTCTTCAGGGAAAATCTCCCCGAATGGAAACTCGAAATACAGAATTCCACTTCAAAGACACCTGTACACGGAAACAAGCAAATCCCATTCTCGAACCTCATCTTTCGAAGAGACCCCCCTTGGGCGCAGAACGGAGACGTCAGTCGACTTACGCTGGTCGCGCACTACGATAGCAAATATGAGCCTGAAGGATTCATTGGCGCAATCGACAGCGCAGCGCCATGTGCCATGTTGATGCACGTCGCGAGGAGCATTGAGGATGCGCTCACTGCGAAATGGGCCAAGATGCAGAAGGATGGGTCTGCGGATGATGGGCTTGAAGAGACCCAGGGAATCCAGATTATCTTTCTAGATGGCGAAGAGGCATTCAAGCATTGGACGGAGGAGGACTCGCTTTATGGAGCCAGGTATGTTGAATATGGACTTAAATACGAGCCAAACGGTTGACTGACTTGGTGTCAAGATCACTTGCTGAGGAATGGGAATATCAGTTCCATGGATCTACTGCAACTTACAGGACTCCCCTGGACTCTATCAGTCTGTTTGTTCTTCTCGATCTTTTAGGATCTGCGGATCCTACTATCCCTTCTTACTTCCTTACAACCCATTGGGCATACCGAGCCATGGCAGGTCTTGAGAAGCGAATGCGACAACTCAATGTCCTCGAGACCAAGCCCAGATTCCCTTTCCTCCCAGATGGCAACAAAACAGCCAATCGATTCACTCGCAGCTATATTGACGATGATCACCGACCTTTCATGCAGCGCGGCGTCGATATCTTGCATCTCATTCCATCGCCATTCCCCGATGTGTGGCACGAGATCACAGACGATGGTGAGCACCTCGATCTTCCAACCGTGCGTGACTGGGCGAGGATCACCACTGCGTTCGTGGTGGACTGGATGGGTATCCAGGACTTCATGCCCAAGCTGGCGGGAACTAAAGCGAAGAGGAATGGTGCGGCTGCGACAACTACGTCGAGCCGGAGGACGGAGCTTTAGACGATACGAACGTACATATCTGCATCATTTAGAGAAATGTCGGTGGGTTATTTTGGGCTTGGCGTTGTAGGCGCGATGACATGAAAAGAGTCATGTAATGAACGGTCTATTTTGCCAACATGGAGTAAAGGAATCTTTAGTTGACTAGCAAACATCTGAATCTACTGCTCTTCTTGTTCATCGGAGTCTTCATGGCCTTTCTGCCGTATCAAAGGAACCCTGAAAACTCTCATATTTCCCGTGGGTACCGTGTAAGACGGACCGAGAAGGAGAGGCATTTATTAGGGATTTGCACCAACATCAGACTAGCAATAACTCCCGAAGTAGACGCCAAATTTCCCTGATTGGCCGACTCTATCTCGGACCCTGACTGCGCCTGTGAAAGGAGGGCGTCTCCAAGTTTAAGCCCCGGACAGTTTTTATGGAGTCTGGAGAGATGATACGCTACCGCCAACTTCAAGCGGGTTATTGGCAGTTCTGTTTTTGGTTTTGCGCGACATACGAGTAAGGTAAGGTAAGGGCATCGATCATATTTGTAGTTCAAGCTGACGTCGGTCTTTCTGGCGCTCTCTTGATTCATTTATAAGTCTGCTAGCAGTGGAGGTCTTCTATTTAAGTGGTTGCTGCTCCCTGCTTCTTCCACAGGCGCTGTTCTTTAGTAGTTGTTGTAAATCACAATCATCTTACACCTCACCATGTCAGCCATCTATTCTGAAGCCCAAGTTGCTGGGTTTCTCAAACACCTTCAAGTCCCTCAAGAATTCTACGTGGGCAATGAGCCTATTCTGGACCATGCCTTTCTCAAAGTGCTGCACCAGCACATGATCGCAACAGTCCCATATGATAACTTGACGCTGCATTACTCGTCGCATCGCAATATCACTCTCGAACCTCAAGCTCTCTACCAAAAGATCGTGGCGGATGGGCGCGGAAGGGGGGGTTACTGCATGGAGAGTAACCTCTTCTTCTGCTACATGCTGAGAGCTCTTGGTTTCCAAGTATATCCCGTAGGCGTACGAGTTCGTCTGCGAAAGGATGGTGTTCCTCACGGTGATTTCGTTGGCTGGCAAGATTGAATGCAATCCTGTCATCAGTATCGTTCACTAACTGTTCCTAGGGTTCACATTGTCAATATTGTAACTCTGCCTGATAATTCTCGCTGGGTTATGGATGCTTCATTTGGCGGCGACGGCCCAACACAGCCCATGCCCTTGGTCGAGGGCGCCGAGTGGGTTAACATGGGGACACAAGATGCTCGTCTTATCAAGGACTTCATTCCCGGCCAAACAGAGCTCACGTCCGGGCGTCGTCTCTGGATCTACCAATGCCGCAACTCCCGCGACCAGCCTTGGACCAGCTTCTATTCTTTCAGTCACTCAGTTGAATGGCTACCAGCCGATTTCGAGATTAGCAACTGCTACACAGGCACAAGCCCACGCAGTTTCCAGACAACGACGGTTTTGATTGTCAAGTTCCTTCTAAGAGAGAGCAAAACATCATCAACGGGTGAAGAAATTTATGGGAAACGAATGCTGGTTAACGATGTGGTTAAGGAGAACCCTGGAGGTAAGACAAAGGTTCTGAAAGAGCTGAGGACAGAGAATGAGAGAGTGAAGGCGTTGAAGGAGTATTTTGGCATTGATTTGACGACGGAAGAGAGAGAGGCTATAGAGGGCTTCCAGACTGAGATTAAGAGCGAGTAGAGGATGATATATCAGCAGTCATTAATTTAGATGTTTATGATAGAAATGATTGTTCAACTTTTAAGAGTTTATATGAGACTGTCTAGCACAGAAAACCGTGAATTACTTTCGTTCGGTTATGGTAATACGCAAAGATGCTTTATATCGATAAAGTCTTATATTTCTGTACAAAACCTTTTCTGTGTAGAACCAGAAGTTTCTTGGCGTGAGGGATGATGGGTCTCAATGGCTTTGCGTGTATCTAATGTTTAGTTATCCAAACCTCTCCGCATGATGAATACACTTAACAGATTTAATGTATCGAAGTATGCCTTTGGATCAGTTGATTTTGACGCACCGATTTAATGTCAGAAGTCTCATTACATACTTGGGATATTGCATTACTAGGATTAGCCATACAAACAGAGGTTTACAGAATTAATCGATGATCACCATGAAATGGATTTGTTCCTTCAAGTGATACATATCGTAGACCTACCCTGAAGCCAGGAGCTCTCTTCTAGTCCCCACTAAAGTTGGAGCGTTGACCAATCAAAGCTCTCCACTGCCACCACGTAATGCAAGCTACGGTGCGCCATCTGTCTTGAGCTATCCTGTCTCATCCACTTGGCCTCAACTCCAGAACCGACCGAATCGACCTGCGATAACGTCAAAATCATGCGCTTCTCAATCGCATCATCCCTAATCCTCCTAACGAGCGTGGCTAGCGCTGCCTCGTCTTGGAGTTTCACCGATGGGTCCGTCACTGTCGGCTCCAAGAGAGCCCAGGGCGTTACTGCCAAGTAAGCTAGCTGTCCCTCTAGAGATGCCATGATGAAGTTATCATGAGCGATTGAGTGCGAGAGAATGTCCACTGACTAGTCTGATCAATACAGATTTAGCGATCAGAAACCTACCAAGAAGTCTCTTGTCCTAGGCAAGGCAGATACCATCAAGGTCTCGTTAACCACGACCTCAGCTGGCGAGCCAAAGCGACCTCACCAGGCATTCCTTATCCTCACCGAGTCAACTGGCCTCGAGGCCCCATTCCCTCTCAAGATGAAGGCCTCTGGAAAGGGCGAAGCCGAGATTGTACGCAATCAATCAGACTCGAATCAATTCCACGACTGACCATAATCACAGTCACAAAAGGATCTTCCTATTCAACTGCTCCTCTCCGACGAACCCATTAAAGCCAACCTTGTCCTGGGATCTTTCGGCTCATCCAGCCCTCTTATTTCCCCCGTCTTCGATATCGAAGTCCAACTCGACTCCAATGCTCCTTCACCTCAGTATGAGGCTCCTGTTCGATATGGTCCCCGAGCCGAGATCGACCACATCTTCAAGGTCGGCGACTCGAGTCCTCCCGTGGTTGTCACTCTTGTCTTTGTGCTCGCTATCGTGGCTAGCGTTCCTGCTCTCTTCCTCGGGGTACGTGTGAATTCTGCCATCATACATTCACGGACTAACAAGCATGTAGTGGCTCTTCCTTGGTGCCAACGTCAACCATTTGCCCAAGGCCCTCAAAGCTGCACCCATATCTCACGCTGTCTTCTTTGGCTCCATTGTCGGCATTGAGGGCACGCTGTTCCTCTACTACGCCCAATGGAACCTCTTCAAGACCTTGCCTGTCGCCATTGTCCTTGGCGTAGTGGCGCTTCTGAGTGGAACCAAGGCTCTGAGTGAGGTCCAGAGTCGACGTCTCGCTGGAGAGAGGTAATCTGGTTGCAACATTCGAAAGTAACTGCTTGGCATGATAGAAGGGCTAAAGCTCGAAACCATACATCGCAAGTCGATGTTGGTAGAAGATAGGGGAAGACTGATCTCTTACTAAAAGAACAGCTATTGCCCGATTGCGGGTATCGAAATGTATACAATGGATGTTCCATGATGGGAATTTCTGTAACATCAAAAGTCCATCAATCAAGAGGTTCAAGGACGAGTAACTTTTCCCAAGAGTTGAAATGATGCCAAATTATAGGCATGCAAAACGGATGTACATTATGATAGACACTGGAAATGGAGTCGGATTTGGTGACATTTCAATAATTGCTACATCCCAATAAGCGAATACGTGCCATGATTTTGTGATTCCTAGACTAAGACATGCACCTCGAACGCTTCATCCGTGTAACTCACAGTCAATAATCAGTGCTTACTAGTCCTCTGCCTGTCCTGCCTGTCCTCTTACAATGTTCCATGCTTATCGCAATATTCAGTATCCATCGCTTACTCATATACTCGAAAACAATTACCTCTCAACACTTATTCCTCCTTCGGCTTGGTCCACATACTCAGCTGTTCCTCCAAGACACTGTTGAACCATTGTGTCTTCTCTATGATGGGCGCGTGTCCCATATCGTCCACAATGTGTACAGAGCCTGGTTTCAGCACTTTGATGAGCCGTTCGCCATTTGGAAAGCTGATCATGTTGTCACGCTTTCCATGCATAATCATGATGCGCTCAGAGCCGACACCGTCTGCTATTTCCCGTAGCTGGTCATCCGTCTTGTTGTGCAAAGCTGCCGCCGCAAGTTGACACATGAGCATTTTGGTGGTGTACAGCTCGGGATTTGTTTTCTTGGTGAGTTCCTGAGCCTGGAAACGCTGAAAGTTGGTCTCGAAGAGGCCGTATGTTGGACCACCCTCTGGCGGTGGTGGGCTGCATCGTACGGTGACGCCTGGCTCAGGTAGTATATCATCATCTGGTGCGACGAGCCACTCGGGTGTGAAGAGCCGGAGAGCAGTGTCGACAATACTGCGCTCCATGGACTTGGGGATGATCATACCCATGGTGTCTGAGACAGTTTCCCACAGTCCCTTTGTGTTCTGGACCTTGCCTGATGTGCAGATGAGGGAAAGCGACTGCAGACGCTCGGGAATACGAATAGCAATTTCTTGTGCAATCATGCCACCCATGGAGATACCAACGAGGTTGATATCACGCTCAGCCTTCCAACCAACATGGTCGATGACCTCGATGGCATCGAGTGCCATGCCGCTGGTAGAATAGACACCCACAGGCTTGTCGCTGCCGCCCATCCCACGATTATCGATAATGAGAACCGAGTACTTGTCGGCTCGATCATGGCCGAAGTACTTTGTTTGACGCTGCCATGATGTCTTGACTCCTGCCAATCCCATAATAAGCTACATACAGTCAGCAGTTAACCTCCCCTCGAAGAATATGACCAAATCTGAAGCAAACACGATACAGACAGTACGAAAGAGTAACACGCGGACGGAGAGATTAAGGGAATTTTAACGGAAGAAACGTACCACAAGCTTGACGGGTCCCTGACCATGAATCTCCCACGCAATGCCGACTGGACCACCGCGACCCTCAGCGACAGAAACCTTGCCGTGAGAGTGAGGTTCTAGGGCCCAGAGTGTGCCTGGATAGGCTGGGTGCCTGAGCGTCTCCTCAGCAGAGGGAAACGTGCGTTGCCTGCGAGGACGTATCGCGTGTAAGTGAGCCTTGAATCCACACATGAGGAGCGAATGAAAAGAAGCAGACGAAAAAGAAAGAATGGAAAAGATAGGGAACAAAAAGACTGGAACGACTATGATGGAACGGGGTTGTTTTGTTGGTCGAGGACTCACAGTTCAGTCGCCATAATCGATATTTGGCGTTTGTTTGCTCTTATAATAAACCTGGTCAAGGCTCTTTCTTGCGCAAACACGTTTGTGCACCCTTCGAGTCTCAAGGGAAAGTCTTGTGCTGTTGTTTGAGAAGTATAGGTAAGTAATTAAGGTAAGGTAGTATCTCAAGTTGCAGTTGACAAAAAGACCCCGTACGTCACTCCCGGACTACGCGAGTAGGAGAGTGTAGTGAGCACGGAAGAATCACAGAGATTTGAGCGAATGAAGAGTAATTGACATATAAAAAGCAAAAAGTAGTCCCTGTTGTAGGAGACTAGGCTGTGAATTGTGGAGAGGTAGAAGTAGGTAGTATTCGGAATACCTTGTCACAACTCAACTTGCAACTTGCCAGGGTGAGAGAGAGAGCAAGTGAGTGAGCGATTGAAGGCGCCATGGATCGCTGCATCATGCCTCGGCGCTACCTGCATTAGTACCTACAGTTGCTTGATCGCCATGGGCCTAGGCACGCCACGTGAAGAATCCGAACATGGCATCTTTAGTTACATTCCAGCCTCGATGGAAGTGAGAGCGATGCCGCAAACCCTCCGAATTAGAGACCAAGTCAGCTAGTTATAGATAGTTTAATAGACCCATGAGTCACCCACAATTCAACCATCGCCAATTGATGCACAACTCCAACAGGCAGTCAATGAATCTTAGACAGCTAATTCATGATCGAATACACGCCAATCAAGACTTGTATTCTTTCTAAGCCACTCCTTAATATCTTTTTATTGTTTCTTGCTTTGTTCCTTTTCGATTGAACTCCTTTCTGGTGCCTGGTCGTTCATTCATTCATTGTCCACTTATATATGCATCGTAAATCAACAACTCTTCCACATCCACCTCAAGGCATCACAAGTCCGATACCACTCAGATTTTCCTCGTCAAGCTGGTTCTTGCGATCGACACCACCAGCAATTGGGTTAACACGATAGTTGAACAGGTAATAATGAAGTTGACCATCACCGGCTCCGAATTTCTGCTGCTCCAGGAACAGCGCATTGTCCATTAGCGTCAATGCGTTGAACACATCGAACTTATGGCGCTTGGAGATAATAAGGGCATCGTGAACAAGCTCGTTAAGGCGCTTCTTGAGAGCAGCCTTGTCGAACTTGTCCTGTAGCGCGACGTCTGTACCGTAGTAAAACATGTAAGCAACCTTGATAACGTTGTGCTTAGCGTTTCCAATAGCAGTCGACTCGATACAGAAGAAAGAGAAGAAGTCAGTGATCTTCTTGTTTTCGTCCTTTGTAGCTTATTAGCGCGTATTCTCTGATCTTTGTTCTTATGATGACTGACCTCGACAACGTATGTCCACACAACCTGCTGGTCATTGGGTCCAACCTTGGGGACAAACCAGTGATGAGCTTCCTCGC